ATTGACAGTGCTCTCTGTTTCCAGCCAGTAACTCATTGTCTAAAATTTCTCTCTAAAAATACGCCATCATATACAAGAACACTTCAGATGTTTTCCTTTTCCTCCTGAGAGACTATTTACTCAATTTCCAAGTACTCAATGGACATTTTTGCCTCGATTTTGTATCAGTTAACTCTAGCAACTATCATAAAGTGGATTGAAACTGTTTTCTGCCATTTGCTTCTAGTAAAAATTCCTTTGCTCTGTATCATGTCTGGTCTTTTTTTCCCTTTTTATAACACTTATTAGCACCAGAGTGTCCGAATGGGGCTTAGAGGGCAGAATGCACGCATCTGGTCTGAAAAGTCCATTAGAGAAGTTCAGAATTGTCCCTCTGAGACTAATGTCGAGGTCAGTTCAAATGTTTAACAGGGATCGGGAGGGTTAGCCTCACCTGGATCTATTTTTCTCAAAGTAGCACTGGCTTTTCTTTGGTGCCCTCCTAAAGGAGGCTTTCCATCCTGAGAGGAAGCAGGACATCTGGGGCCCTGGGCAGCTGTGCTGAAAATATTATGCAGGGCCAGTCAGTAAGACGGTGCTGACAGGCCCTGTGGTAAAGTCCAGTTTCTCCTCCCAGGAAACTTCAAAAGAGGCAGGGTCTGCTCTAACCATGTCTCTTCCTTAAATAAAGTTGAATTATAGGGTGAGCTGTTGTCCTCAGCTGATTCTGGGGTACTCCAGAGTTTGCCTCCCCAAGGCAAAGATGTAGGAAAAAGGATGGGAGTAGAGTGGCTTATGCTGGGGCCACTTGGCCCTGAGTGCTGGGTTATTCATGTCCAGTTGGCACCCTTGGAATATGGTCATCCTTTTGAGTCTGTCCGATGAGAATGCTGGATATGTTACATGGGCACTACGGTGTCTTGGGCCTTAACAAAACATTTTCAAACCTGCATCCCTGATATTTGAAATTGAGAAAGTAGGACGGCAGCTCCTTTTCAGGCCATGACTCTATAAAGTGATGATACAGTCAAAGCAAGTGAGCAACTGATCAGTGACAGATTCTGGAGAAGCCCGGGGGTGAGGCGTGTCAGAAGTCACAATATGCCAGCTCCCTGGCTAGTATGTTCCCCACCAATCACAGTCCTAGGAGCTATAACAGACCACAGAGGGTTTCTGCTTAAGTGAAATGCCCTGTTCAATAGGGCACTCAAATGAGCAAGTTCTGTGGCATCATTTGATCTGCCATGCCCACAAACCCCAGTTCCAGTTCGAGAATGCTTTTTGCAAATATTTCTTTTCTCTAAACTAGCGTTGTTTGCCCTCTAAGATAATACTGCGTGGGCAGGTAAACTATGCATAATCACAGATTATTAAATATTTCCAAAAGTGATGAGAAATGATTTTGAAGATTTTGGCCATAAATATGCTTGAGGTGATGAATATATACAGCCTGATTTGAGCATTGTATCATGTGTCCTTATACCAACAAAACCAAACATTCCATAAAATCGGGTGAATATGTATAATGCTTATGTCTTACATATTAGGGGAAAATTAAAAAAAGAAAATGACAACTGATTAGCTTTCTCTGCCTGTTCCTTTGGCAACCAAAATGTTACTTTTCTATATCTGCAATAAAGCAACCATTTGTGTGACATTATTACCCTCAACAACAACAAATACTTGCTGATCAATGGACATAGGGCTCCTCCGTTGGGGATGGGGTATGCACAGTTATGCTCCAGAATACTGTGGTTCTTGAAGAAGCCTGCATGTTAAGAGGTCCAGCTGAGTGGTACAGCACCTGCCTAGCAAGTGCAAGACTCCCTGGTTTTGACACTGCACAACACAAAATAATGATAACAATGACAGTAATAACCCAAACCTCTGTGAGTGCAAAGCTTATTCAGAATACTGTGTGCAATACACAAAGAAGCATTTATCAGTCACGTTCAAATGCTCAAAAGTTTCAGGAGGTGCAATGACCTCTGAGAGATGGACTCTCAAGGCTTCTTGGAGATGGAAGTGCAACCTGCTCAGATATGCATATTATGGTTCTTCTTGGATTGCTTAGAAAGCAAAGATGGAGATATGCAGATAACTTAAAACTTTGTCGTGTGTGTGTGATAAAGGAATATATTATAGGAAAGACGGACGGATAATTGGACCTTGCTATTCATATGTTCTCAGATTTGTGTTGCAGAGGGTGTATCAGGATGGATGAATGCCAAATGATGGTCTGAAACAGAACAGTTGGTCCTGAGAAGTGTTTCAACAAAAATGACTTTTCTGGCAAAAATAAATTAATTACTTAAATAAAAACTGTTCAAGTTGGGCATGCTGCTATATACCTGTAACCCCAGTACTCAGGAGGCTGGGACAGCAAGATCACAAGTTCAAGTACATTGCTTCAAACAATGAAAAGCCAAACAAAGCTGCTGCAAACTAAATTCTTCTTTTGAGCATGTGAAATCATACAAATCTGAGTACACTACTCCACATCCTCTCAGACAGGGTTTGGGTTTTTTTTTTTCCCTCTCTTTTTGAAAGCGTGATAGCTTCAGGGAATATAAATAGAAAGTGCCCATTGTTCCAAGGAGAGAGAGTGAGGATGAACTCGCAAGTAATGGAATGCTGTCCAAGGCTCCTGAGCAGATGGGAAGCGCGCAGCAAGTGGCCATACAGAAAAATTAATCTAGCGCGGCTTGCAGTGTGGAGTAAGAAAGGCAGGAAATAGAACCTAAGATTATTCTCAACATTTGCTCAAGATCAACCTCACCAGGAACTGCAATTTTCAGTCTTTGCTTGTTTTTAATTGATTTTTCCTTTCCAGACAAAGACTACATTCTTTAAATGTATTAGTAAATCAGCCTCCCAGAAACCAAGGTAAAAGCAAAACTAATTCAGCTAATTAAGGAAGGGGTGCTACCAGACTCTGAATCAGAATAAGAAAACAACCGCTCAGCAATATATGTGTCCCCTGCCAAAGGATCAAGGGCTAATCTGAGAGCGTTGGCTTCATAAGGGAACTGGGTGTCACCTTCAAATTGCTCAATGTAGAATGGGCAATGGAATACCGCATCTTAGAGTTTTCTACCAGTTAGTGAAATAGATGCCATGGATTAAAACTGAACATGGCCCCTGACTGTCATGGGTTTCATCCTCTTTCATAAATTTTCCCAAACTAAGAGAATCAAGAAGAGAAGCCAGCCACTATGTGAGTATTGTAGTCTTTGACCTAGCATTGTGGAAATGGATATACTTTCATGGCAGCAATGGCAATGACTAGGTCTCATTGTCAGCTTGACTGGGCTTCCATCACCTAGGAGATCTACCTCTCTATGTGTCTGTAAGGGATTTCATAGATGCTAAATTAAGATGGAAAGTCCCATCCTGAACGTACACAGCACTGCCCCATGGGCTGGGGTCCTAGACTGGAGAAGAGGAGGATCCCAGCTAAGAAGCTCTCACCTTTCACCTTCTCTTCATGACTACGCAGACAATCTGACCAGCTCATTTATGTTTCACTACCAAGTCTTCCCTGCATGAGGGACTGTACCCTCGAACCAAGAGCCAAAACAACCCCCTTTCTTCCTTAAGCTGCTTTTTCAGGCATTTCCTCACAGTGATTAGAAAAGTAAATATGCTCAGGCCTTCAGTGAGTTAGTGTAAGCCACTCTGCTGAAGTCCTGTCTTCACTAGTGCCTTCTCCTCCCAAGGGAAGACTGAGGCAGCTCTTAGATTCTCCTCCACATTCCCTTCCATAGAGGGATTCTTATTCTTCTGGAAAGAACAGTGACCGGGATCTACTTTTAGTGAGACTTTGTATCCCTGTCTATTTTGGGGTCTATTTTAATAGTCTCTCCTTATCATCCTTTACTTTTCTATTTTTCCTTCTAGTTACTTCCCTGAATACAGCATATCCTAAGATAATTCTTTGCACATTACTATAATATTTTCAGAATCAAAAGCCATCCATGGCTTGGCATGATAATAGACAAAGAGCCCAATGTGGTGGTTTAGGCAGTCCTATGTTTGTTCGCTGTTGAGGAAAATCAGGATCATGATGGAGGAGCATTCTTACAAGGAGAACCATGTCTGCAGTGTTAGCTGGTTAGACTACTCACACTGAAGGTTAGAATCGGGCATGTTACCACCTACACACAATGTTTCTCCCATGCAAACAGTTAAGATTTTTAACAAGACCTTTGCGAGGAAGGAGCAGCATAAAGAATATAGACCAATGTCTTAGGAAGGTCCAGTCCTCACCTGTCGATTCCTACAGCATGAACTCATGATTTGTACAGAGCAATCTGAAGACGATGAAGTCTACCTTAAATGTCTAGATGTATGACCAAGGAGGAAGTCTACCTTAAATATCTAGATGTATGACCAAGTCTTTGGCCTCTTCATTTTATTTGGTGGGACCTTTTTCATTTTATTCTCATCAAGGCCTTTAAAGAAATACCAGGTTAAGAAAAAGTCCATCTTTCACTACTTAAAACAATTCATGTATATCAGGAAAAAATTCAGGTTATTAAAATAACTTTTCTTTTTATTATCGGCTACTTCTTTGTATAACTTACAAGTTTAATATATATGTTTATGTTTGTGCATTTTAATTTTTTGTAAGCCACAATAAAACAAAGATGCTAGACTTTATGTACACAATACATTTTATGAGAGGAAAAATTTGACTAAAATAGAGAAAACAATTTTAGAAGTCAACCTTGCTAGTACAATTTTTTTTTGTGTATATGTAACAAAAGACGTGGAGACACCATGTGTCAAATCATTTCATCTGGATGTTCAATGCAACCAAATTCAAGACTACAAACCAATCTGAACAACCCTCTGGGGCTCCTTAGTGGGACTTGACCTACATTTCAGCCTCTCTAAGTCACAGAAAAATATATTCATAGCATTTTGTAGTTTTCCAGTTAACCATTCCCTACCCCTGCCCACCAACTTAACAACCAAAACAAACGATCACAAACACCATCAAATGCTAAACCACTCACCGTAAATGCCTGTTGAGATGCAGGGAAATGCCTGTGAATAAACCAGAAAAACAGCAGTTAGTGTTAAGAGTGTGGCTGTGCTCAGCATCATCTCTCTAGAGTCTATTTTGCTTGACAATTGGATTGTTTCCATTTATGAAGTTGCACTCAGAGCTGTGAGTTCAAGCACTTAGATGAACTCACAAGACCCAGCCGTTAAATTTTCAGGAATCTCCTAAGACAATTGTTCAGCCATTATTATTAAGAAATTACAAAAATTGGCCCGGCAGTGGTGGCACACGCCTTTAATCCCAGCACTTGGGAGGCAGAGGCAGAGGCCGGAGGAGCTCTGTGAGTTTGAGGCCATCCCGGGTCTACAAAAGCTAGTTTCAGGACAGTCTCCAAAGCAACACAGAGAAACCCTGTCTTGAAAAAGAAAAAAGAAAAAGAAAAAAAAAATTAACAAAAATCTTGTGGTACATGGCTGTAAACTCTGCCCTCAGAGGGCAGAAACAGCTAGATCTCTGTGAGTTTAAGGCTAGCCACAGCTACATAGTTAGCTCTAAACTAGCTAAGACTATATTGTGAATTCCTGTCTGAAACAAACAAAGAAGCAAAATGTAATCAATAATGAAATAGATAACACCAAAGCAAAGACAATTTAATGACCAAAACTGATCCTTTGCAATCACTTTGCGCCATTTCTCTATTGTGTTTTTCTTGATTCTTTACATCTCTCACGTGTGTATGATGGAGGCATCACATGGCAGTAGCTGCTCAGCAAGCGGCTTCTTTTGCCTCTGTACTATGATCCTCCATTGGTGTTATGAAATTTGGATATCCCAGGCAATAATCACCAACCATGTCATGGTACAACTGTAGCCATAGCCTTGGCTCAAGCACACATTTTCAGTAAAATTCATAAAAATTCATTTAGTGAAAATCAAGTAGCTACTTCGATTTTATAAGAATGTTACATATTTTGTTCTCATATGCAAATTACCCATCAGGAACATTTACTCTAAACTTATAAAGTGCATATACTTTTGCTGGGGGAAACAATACTAAACTCTTATTGACATGTAACAGCTCATACCATGTTGTGCTGATGAACAGTAAAGATTCTCACTTCAAAAATGAATGCACACAAGCAGGTGTACATTTTTCCTTTTGAGGAGGTTTTCTAGCTGTGGAATGTGACCCAGGTGTGGATATAATTCTGGGTAAGTTATTCAGGTCTTTCTGATCTTTGTGATTTTCTACCATAAAAGACTTATGATTTAGCCAACTAACTAGAACCAGTAAGGTCGTGAATCTTTAAGGAGAACCTACCCCTTCCACTTTACTAGACCAGCATAATCTTAAATGCACTGAAAACTTAACTTTTACACACAGATAAGTGTGGCTCTCACTCTCATCAAAGAGACTTCTCTTTGCAGCAAACAGACTACCACAAAAAAGCACAGCTGGCAGCAATGGGGCATATGCCTTTAATCCCAGAGCTCTGGAGTCAGAGGCAGGTGGATCTCTGTGAGTTCAAGGCCAGTCTGGTCTACAGAGTGAGGATCAGGAAAGTCAAGGCTACATAGAGAAATCCTGTCTCAAGAAGACAAAACTTTGGAGGTGAGCTTTGAGCTTTTAAAAGCTATGAGTGATGAAGAACTCTCTGCTCCTTCTTCAGCAACATGTCTGTCTGCATGCTGCCATGCTTCTTACCATGACTATAATGGACTAAACCTCTGAAACTGTAACCCAGCCCCAGTTAAATGCTTTCCTTTCTAAGAGTTGCTGTGGTCATGGTGTCTCTTCACAGCAATACAAATCTCCTGCAACACTAAGACAGATCCCACTAAGAACGGTAGTAAATGGAAAACATCAAATCTACTCAGTAATATATTTGGAGGTTTCTTGTTTCATAATGCTTTACTGAGAATTATTTTTTCTCTTTTTTTCCTTATAGGTCCTTTGAGTATATATTATGGTGTCTGGTGTTTTTTTACTTAATTTCTCTGTGTATGAATATGCATGTCTTTATATGTATTTCTCACATTTTTGTCTTTGACTATTTTTGTCTGGTAGTTTGCTTGCTTTGTCTTATTCCTATTTCTTTGTTTTATATGTTATCTCAATTAATTTATATTATTTTACTAAAAGTACTAGCTCTTGTGCTCTCTCTTTTCTTGTGTCTCCAACTTGGAACAGTCAGTACACTAGGGGGTGTGTTTTCAACTTGCAGGGGAAAGGAGACACAACAATTATTTCCACACACAGGTACTTTCTACCCCACACTTGGTCCTTTCACTTCATGCCTGGAGCAGTTCACTTAAGTTTTCAGTTTCCTCATGAGCAAAAGGAAACTTTGATGCCAGCCTCCAAACTTTTACTGGAATAGTAAGAAGAAAAAGAAAAGCAACAAGGTCAAAGAAGCTACATCTTCATTAACAATGACTCCAAGAGAGGATACAGTGATGTCTAGCAGGTTGTTTTAAAGGACTTACTAGCCTGGGATAGACTGTTCTTGCTGCAACAGTATTGATGCTTTGGATCATACGCTGATTTTTTTTTTCTTGGAGGCTGTCCTATGAATACTTGGAGTGTTCCTGGACACATCCCTCTAGATGCCAGGGGCCCTTTTCTCGTCAAGACAGTAAATGCTTATATGGTTAAATGTTCTTTAAGGGACAAATCAGCCATCTCTGAGGACCACTGCTTTCAGAAGACAGCCTTCCATGAACAGACTTTTCAGGGACTGTCTCAGCTACAGAACGACATCTCACTCAGAACCTTGACCCTCCCGGGGCAGCCCACACCAGTAACAGATCGATGACTTGTACAAAGGCCTGGTCATCTTGGCTTCCTCGAAGTCATAATGAAGGGCCCTTCTTGCCTCAAGCTCTGCTCGGGGTCACCAGGGCCTAGCACTGGGCCTGATTCCCACTTCATCTTCTCCTCTTGTCTACTGCAGCTTCTTTCCTCTCTCTTGCCCAGATGCCAATCCTGAAATATTTGTTAACAGACATCTGGCACACTCAGCGCATCTCAGGGTCTGCTTCCTGGGGAATTCATCTGAACTAACTGCCCTCCACTTCACTCTCAAGTCCAGTTACCTGAATCGTTTCCCCAGATCTAGCAGAAGAAAGAATGCACTGAGCAGAGGGGGGCAACTCTTATTTGCCAGAACTCCAGTCTTCTCTTGGAATCAATCATGCAACCGCACAGCTGGGTCTAAATGTATGAAATGCCTTTCTGTTTTAACAAGGAAAAATAACTTCATCTGAAAATGACATTGCTGCCTTAAATGTGAAGGGAAAATGGTGATGACTTTGGTGATATTATTGTGTTAGCTCAAGAGGCAATGATGAAGCCGAGATGAAAGTACAATGGCATGCAAAATTTATTTTACAGAAAATAACTGTGAATATAATTCATTAAGCCAAATTCCCACCATTAATCACTCTTTATTGAGAGGGATGAGAAAGAAGGGGGACCAGGAGAAGGAGAAAGAGAGAGGGAGAGATCAGCAAAGGGATTATTGTAGCACACATAGGGTCTGTGTTCTTTGCCATAATAAATTTTCAATGTGGATGTCAGAACTGAGAAGTTAAGGTGTCTTTATTTCAAAGATGCATTTAATATAACACCTCCCTCAGAACTCTTCTCTCAGAGAGAGATGTGAGATTGTATCCAGACCCAAGCCAATTATTTCAGTTTGTTTGAAGTACATTGAACACAGTGGTCACTTACAGACTTTGAGAAATGACATCAGCAGCCCAATTTGTAAGCCTCTAGAATCTCCTACCAGCAAACTGAGAGATAAAGGTCTCTGTGCTAATAGAGTCTGATCACAGAGCATTCAGAAACCTGATTCATACTCTCCTCCACACTCCACTTCTACCTGATCCCTTATGTTCCCATTCCCACCAGCCCTCAAGTCCACTCACAAAAATCAGCCATATAACCTTCGACCTACAGTCTGTCTGGTATATGGTATGTGCTAGCATAAGGGTGACACAGAGACTGTGGCAATGACCAATCAATGACTCGCCCAATCTGAGACCTATGCCATTAGAGTGGGGCCACCCCTGACACTGCCTGGAACACCAGGACCCAGAGGTTGAATGGCCCAGAGACCTAGGATAGAATCAAACACAACTGGAGGAAAAAGAAATGTCAAGGTAATGATATCTAAGGATATTCTGCTATACTCATAGACTGGTGCCTTGGCCTAATTGTCATCAGAAAGGCTTCAACAAGCAGCTGGTGGAAACAGATGCAGAGACCCACAACCAAATATTAGGCTGAGCTTGGGGAATCCTGCTAGATAGAAGGAGGAAGGATTGTAGGACCCAGAAGGGTCAAGGACATCACAAGAAAACCTATAGAATCAACTAACCTGGGCTCATTGCGGGGTGGGGTGGGGGATTGACAGAGACTAAACCAACAACCAGAAACCTACATGGACTGATCTAGGCCCTATGCAAGTATTTGACAGTTACATAGCTTGGTCTTCTTGTGATACTTCTAACAATGGGAGCAGAGACTGTCTCTTACTCTTGCTGACTTTTGGGTCTCTACTTTTCTTACTGGGTCGCCTTACTCAGCCTTAATACATGGGGAGGTGCTTAGTCTTACTACAACTTAATGTGTTGTGGTTTGTCAATATCCATGGGAGGCCTGCCCCTTTCTGAATAGAAATGGAGAAGGAGTGGATGTGATGAGGGGCAGAGTGGAGGTGGGAGTGAGGAACTGGGAGGAAAGAAGGGTGGGGAAACTTTGGCAGGGATATAAAATAAGCAAATTAAATAAAAAGAGAAACCTACTTGTAGGGATAAGCCCAGCCCATTAGGGAGCATGTAAGTCTATTTCCCCATTAAAGCTGTATATATTATTACAATCTGTCTACATTCATTTAAGCCGATACACCTACTTTATGGCATTTGCCTTTCAGCTACGTTTTCCCAAGCCAGAATATGTTCACTCCCTTGGGAGGAAAACAATCAACCATGACTTGGCAAGAAGACAGGACCCTTCCTTTCTGAAGCTATGGAACAG